AACCAAAAATTACTTGAAGATTGTTTACTCTAATATCATTTATAAACATGCTTCATTGATAATTTTTCCTACTGGAGAGAGCGTGGTTCAAATTTAATTTTTCTGTTGATTAAGTAAACATCTCTTCAATCCGAAAAAATTCTTCAGTAGACTACCTCACAGCCAAGTCAGGTTATAAAATGCCTTTTATTGTTTTTTTACAGATGCATTTCAAGTTAGGTTAACTTTCGCGCTCCTCTTCAGTGCTGTTTTCTGTTATCTGTTGATTAAGTAAATGTCTCTTCAATCCAAAAACAGCTAACATTAGAAAATTCAGAAAAAATTTAATTTTCCTTTTCTTGACATGCTTGATTCAAGGTTTCTGCAGTGTCTCCAATTTCCAATCTAGACAGAATATTGGCATTCATGTGAACATCCCTTTCTGATGTTATCATTATAACTGTACAATACCAATACCCATTGAATCTGCCATCCACTGAAAACTGAGCCAGACATGCTCCAACAGTTTGATCAGAATTATACAGTTAATTACATTCTGGACTGCTTTGAAAAGAAAAAGAAAAAATCTAAATAGACACTATCTAGTTTCTCGATTTCTGTCTTAACTTTTCTACTTCTTTTAAATGGGAAAGATAATATTCCAGAAAAAGTTTTGCAATGCTATTGTTTTCCAAAATACCACAAAAACAAATAACACCTGCATCCCTTGAAAGTGAAATGGTTTTATTATTAACTGAGTATATAATGTGTATTTTTAACTCCATTTTTAACTAAAATTCAGAAATACTACAGCCACTTTTAAAGAGTCAGCCTTATTTACTTACTGGCTCTCAAGATCTTTTGAGTTTTTTATAAGCCAAAAGACTGAAAATCAATAATGTAATAGCCATAAGACAAAGTTTTTATTGAATTGTGTTATTCTTTTGTATATATTATGAAACTTGAATCTACATTCTGAATAATCTGAAAAAATCTTGAGAATCAGTAAATAAAACTGACTTCTTAAAAAAGGCTATAATGTTTTTAAACTTTAGTTGAAAAACAAGTAGCCAAAGCCATTTTTGGGACAAGACTATGTCTCAGAAACTCAGGGCTTGACTGCACACTTTAATTATTACAAACAGTGATTTCGAGAGAAAATTATCTATATATATAAAAACAAATGTATGTCTGTCTGTCTGTCCTTCATGCATTACTACACCATTTATCTGATTGCCACGAAACTTTGGGAAGTTGTTTAATACACTCCCGCAAAGGTTTCTGGCATAGTACAATACCAAAAAATTCTGTTCCCATAATTACAGAAAACAAATATATATTATTTAATACATTTTGAAATAATTTAACTTATCATTGCTGAACTAAAACATTAAACTACTCAATAAAAATATTTAAAAAATATCATGGATTGCTAGAGAAGTCAATGATAGATAGTGCACATGTATACGAGCATTTCATCATGAGCATTTCAGCATGGTTAGGAGTTGAAACTTGAAATTTGGTACACAGTTAGGGTACATTTGGTACACAGTTAGGGTACTAACAAGGGATTTTTTGAAATCCCCCCGTGTGGAAAGGGACAGGATTAAGACTTCAACAATGGAAGTGTTAAAAGAAAGCAATGTGCAAGATTTACAGGCACAGATGCAGTTTTTTGCATTAATTTGAACATAATTTTAGACCCATCTAAAAATTTTCTAATTAGTCTGGAAACAGGGAAACCTAATTCTTGTATTCTATGAAAACGGGTAAGATTGGCTGTAATGTAATAATCTTAATCTTTGCTATCGTTACTTTTTGCCCAAGCAATGCCGGGCTTATCTGCTAGTTTGAGATAAATTTGGAAAATATATTGAATTTAACCTGAAAATGCTGGGGAAAAAATAAATTTTGAGATAAACATGTTTCAGATTGAAAGGTTCAACTATATAATAAACTTTATGCAATGTTAATTTGTTTTTTTACATTTGGTATGCTACAATACATATACATACCTGAAACAGTTCATTTTTATCTGATAATTGCACTAATTATTTCTAAAAATACAATACAGCATTAATTCAATCATAATTCAACCAAAAGTTAGAAAACTACTGTTCAAAAAAATTAACTTTTGCTTAAAATTGATGCTAACTTAACTCTATCTGAAAATAAATTTACGTTTTTAATTAAATTTGAAATTGAAAAAGTATAGAAACAGCAATTGACCTAGTATTGTTAGATCTAAATTTCAGACTTTTGCCTGTATGTAGATCTAATAATTACATTCTTAACAATATACATTCCTAAATCAAATCTTAATAAAAAAAATTCACAACATTTCTAAAAGTGATCTGATGGATATTATTAGATTAAAAAACGAGAGAGAGCCATGTAAGTCTGAAAAACTTAGTCATCATAAAAAATGTCTATAGAAAATTTTACAGAAACAACATGTAACTGAAGATGTTTTATGTTAACATAAAAGTTTATACAAATGATAAACATTTTGTTATAATGCCATTAAAAAATAAACATAACTCTTATTGAAATTAAGAATTCAACTCTCTAAGAAAACAAAGACAGAAAACTCTTGACATGTTTTTCAATAGAAACTTTCCTTCAACAGGTGTCACTCTGGAAAATTTAAAAATATTGCCAACTATTTGCCAGTTTTAAATTTTTTTTGCCACTTCAAATTATTTATTGTCACATAAGTACTAATTAATGCAGGTGCAGGTAGCCTTATCAGTTTGGAGTCTGGAAAGCAAAAGTAACATATTAAGATGTCAATTACAAAAAAAAAAGAGGGTCTCCAATTTGAACGAAACTTGGTGAGCACGTAGCCTTAAACACAAACAGCTCTTTGTCCAAATAATAGGATCCATTTCTCAAGCATTTCCAAAAATTGGGTCTCTGAAAACTGTTTAGCTTATAAGTCTGGAAGTTTCATGTCTCCTTGTGATGATAGCTGAGTGGATAAGCTGCTAAACACAGGAGGTAGGCAATGTAAGTTTGAAGCTTTGAAATTTTAGTTTAGTTTTTTTTTTATGTGTAACATAATTATTTTATTAATTTACTGTATCATTAACATTATTATTATTATTATTAATTATATTATAAGTCACCATATAATTTTCTCTCAAATGCTTCTAAAGTTTCCAATATCAGCATTGCCACAGTATTAGACATATTTTCTATACTTATAAATTGCAAATGAGTCTGAAACTTTCTCAAGATTGGATTACAAGAATACAAATCAAGACAACTAGGAAAGACATTTGAAAACAATTGTCAAGATTAAATTAAGATATTTTTTAAAATTCTATTAATAAGATTGAAATTCATCATTTCTCTCAATGGTAAAAGATCTAAGGAATAATTGTTTGCTGTACTTAAGCCTTTAAAAAGCCTTCTCTTATTCTCTTCTCTATCCAAATGAAAAAATAACAAGAAAAACCCTGGAAAGCCTCAAGTATATTGTAGAAGCTAGTTAGAGGCAAGTAATTCATTATAAACTTACAAACTTAAGCTAGGATTTCTTATAGAAAACTCTAAACTTTCATAATGGCATCTATATAAACAATTATATATATATATAATTGTTTATAACAGACCAAATAACTATAGTAATATTGTCATAAAGTTGTCATAAAGGAGGATACAAAGTTAGATTAAAATTCTGATTTGCATTAAGTCAAGACCAAAATACAGATCCTAATATTTTGCTGAAAGTTAAAACAAAAACAAAAAAGCATGATTAGAGTATGAAGGTATGAAAATATGATTATGATTTTTCAAGTATATCACCAGATGCCTAATCCTAATTAAATCATTTATGTAATATACATGGATATTTAGATATACATTCGATTCCGTTTAATTGGACCCCTGGTTAATTGGGTCAGCCGTTTTATTGGGCCAAATCTCAAAGAACGGAAACCAAACTAATAAATTAATACATAATTTAATTGCTTAATTAGGACATTAGCAGAAAAGAAATTTAGAAAGTTTTTATATATTTTAGGGATCTTCTGAAAATATGTAGACACTATGTACACTAATGTCACATAGGTCTAACGATTGGCAGAGACAAAGCAATTTTGTCTTTCGCTTGGGCAGTTCAGTTTTTCAGAGGGGGTCACCATAGTGGGACGTATCACATGAGGATCCATCTGAGATGGACCTGAATGAAAGCAACTGATTCTTCTCTGGATTGGACCAGATGATCCCTTTAAAAGCAAAGGGACAAAGATCTCCAGACAATTTCAAGGTCTCTTGACTGAGTTGGTAGACAGCTAGAGTTTCCTTGGAAGGTATTGTGTGCATAATTACATCTAGATTTGACAGCAGCCATCCAATTGTTGAGACCAGCATCCGGAGCTGGCAGATAATATGGATGCTCCTGCTGAAGTGGTCCATCTCCAAGTAAAGTCCTGTGCTCAAAGAAAGACCGCAAGGTGACTTTTGGACGAGTGTCCTTTCTCCCTTTTAGTTAGAACATATTCTAACTAAAAAGGGAAAAAGGAAAAATCGTTTGATCAAAAACTAATCAAACGGTCAACCCTTGTGTACATCACTACTAGTACTGTATTTGGAAACACTAGTGTGATGAGAATCAGTTATCTATTGTCGTGAGTCTGGCAAATTCATAGTAAAAATATTTTCTATATTTTGGTTTAATAAAGCTTTAAAATAGGTACCTAATTATTATTTTTTACCAACTTATTTATTTACCTATGTATTACATATTTTATTTTAGAATTTATTATTAGTTTGTTTAATCAGGGCAGCCACTTAATTGAGCCAAAATAGATTAGTCCTAACATGTCCCAATTAAGCAGAATTGACTGTATATTCATTTATCACTAAAAAATTGTTTATATTAAATATAATTACCTTAAACAGAAAATAGATTGATATAAATTTTTAGAAATTTACATTGTGATGCTATATTTAGTTATAACAAAAGCCTTTTTTTGTATAAAAACAAATTATTGTATATAAAAAATATAACATACCCATGCTGGCCGAAGAACTTTGTTTGAATTTTTAATTTTGACATATAACAGTGGAGGGCAATGAGATGGAGGATCGGGTCCTTCTAAATTCTTAAAAGTAGAAAATAAAAGATAATTTAAGCATACTTTCATTTATATAACAATAGTATATCAATATAAAATGCTAATTAAGTCAGACATTAAAGACAATTTCTTAAAAAAAAACCCAATTTTCTGAAAATGAAAAACTGGAACAATTCAACAACTCAATTATTTAATATAAAAAAGATTTCCAAAATTATTTATGTTCCCATCTTCAGACACATTCTAAACCCCTAAATTTTAGAGTAAATCTGAAACTATTTCAAAAAGTATCTCTAATATAAATCTTACAAACCTTTGAAAATATTTGTACTAAAATTCTTAAATTGCCAAGTTTTAATTTTCAGCTGAACCAGTTTAATGTTTTTCAACCTCTCTCTAGTAGTGGCATCCCAACTTAGAAATTTTTCATGTGGCACCCCTACTTCTTTATCAACAGCACTTTTTATATTTTTAATAATACACTTAAGAAGTGTTATGACACTGTTCAGCATTATTTTGCAGCACTACTGAAGTGTAATTGTGACATCCTAGTGCATTGCAGCATTCTATTTGAAAATCATCAAGCTAATTATTTAAGTTTTAATGCTCTTATCACATATATAATACCTTGTGTAAAGGTTAAATACTCGTTTACAAGTACTGGTACAATATATAATAGACTCACAACAACCTTTAAGTGACCAGTAAAATATTTAATTGAAAAACAAAGTTTTCGACCGTATTTTTCAGTATTTTTTCAATTAAATATTTTACTGGTCACTTAAAGATTGTTGTGAATCTATTACATATATAATAACTTTATTTATATAATAATTTTTAAAAAGTCTTTTAATTGTATATTTTTTAATAGTTAATTTTTAAATTTGATGGACAAATATGAGTGGCTGGATGGAAAAGACAGTTAGGCCATCAACCTACTGCCTGAGAGTCTCAGAATCAAATCAGGTGAGCAATCCCAGGAATTTTTCAGAGAGGAAGTCTGTCAGGATATGTCAGGCTCTGTCTCTCATCATCTGGCCACTCATTGTTGGTCTTGTCAAACTCACATTTTCATTATTCTTCCAACATCATTTTCATTACTCTTCCAACATCTGACAGGCTAGCTTATAGAAAAATATGTGATCGAGTGATGTAGGCATTAGTTAACTTCCATGTTGTGTGTGGCTCTACCCTCTCTTCTTGAATTTTCCATCTTTTCTTTCTTTATCTATGCAGCAAACACTGCAACATCCACAAAACCAATTTATTGCAGTACATTCTGTTGTGTTTTTATACAATATTCATTATTTTTAAGTATTATTTAAAACCATGTAACAAAAAAATTGCAGTATTTTGGGCATCTGGAACAGATTAATGGCATTTCAATTCATTTCAATGGGAAAAATTGATTTGACATACAAGTAATTTGAGTTACGAATTTCATTACAGAACGAATTAAACTCATAAGTCAAGGCTGTATTTCAATTTATAATCCAAATTGATAAATAAATAAATATTCAAAATCTTTAAAGGCTTTTGTTTTTGTTTACTTAAATAAATCCAGAATAATATAAGCTTTGATATAAAATAATAAATTTAAAAATTAAATATTTTAAACACTTACCTACTGTAAAATATTTACTAATATATCCTTATATTTTCACATTTTATATTTATTACCTGAGCTTTTGACATTTAATGTTTATATCAATTAACTACAGAATATTCTGTATATCCTTATTTTATTAAAGTGGTGTAGATGATTACGAAGTAACTATTGTATTGCTACAACTTTAATAAATAAATTTATTTCATTATAATTCATATTCCTGTACATCAGCATTATTAAAGTTTTATTAAGTCAAAGCTCTTCTGGTTTTGAAACTTTGACTTTTAAACTTTGCTCGGTAATATTATAAAATGAGAAATTTGGCATCGTTTCAGATTTTGTTATGTTTGAAAATTTAAAAAACAAACAAAAATTTGAATTTTAAATTTTAATATAATTTATTATAATTCTATATCTAATTTTACAATAATTTAAAGTAATCTGACTAAAATTTCTTAACTATCAATGTATATGTCTCTTGTTTATATCTGCATTTTTGCAATATTTTATTCAATATTATTTTTACAGTATAATTTATATAATATACAAGGATTTCAAATAAATTATTTCTCAATATAAAAACATTTTATGATAAAATATAAAATTAGCATAAAGCAGTTCAAGTTGATTAACTAATAAAACAAAGAAAATTTGTGTTTTATATTAATAATATAAAACACAAGTTTTATATTATTATTATTATTATTAATTTTTAAATAAAAATTGCTATTAAATTAATAAATATATTGTTGTATACATCAAAATAAAAAATAAATTACTTCTAAATTTATTAAATTTATAAATCTAGTTCTTTGGAAATTTTGTTTATGTAAATTTATTAATACTGATATTTTTAGTTTTGTTCATTGTTAAAAAAAAGAAAAAAATTACACTCAAAGAAGATTTTATATTAGTACAACACACGCTAATGACTCAATATAATGTATTCTGATACAGTAGAATACAGACAATGTGGATTCCTAAGTTAAACTGGCAGTCAATAGTGTAGCTTGAAATCAATTGGCTCAGTACTTGATTGCTTGCTGTTCTCTCAATTAGTTGCTTGCTCCTTGAAACCTAGCACAAAATTGCAATTGAAAACTTATCACACAGGAACACTCCTCTTGATGGAAAAAGTGGATTTTTATTTTCTATTTTTTACAAAGGATATGCATTTCAGGCCCTATGCCCTTCTTTAGTCTTTATTATGTATGATGGTAAAACTAAAAATATAACTAATGGTGACTACTGGAATAACTAATTGTTAAAAATGTGGGATCAAACAAGTAAAACTGTAAAAATAAAAAATTTTGGTTAAAACGTAGAAAAAATTGACCAATAAAGGGAGTAAAAACAAAAAATTTTTAAAACTAATAAAAATTGGTTTAAAAAAATGTAAAGGGTTTCACTGTATGTTTATTAGGAAGTCTGATTATTATATTATATATTGTTTAAAAATTTGCTGTACCATATAACAATCAGACTTCTTATAAACATACATTTAAGTCCTTTACACTTTTTTTAAACCAATTTTTTTTGTGTTAAAAATTTTTTGTTTTTACTCCCTTTATTGATCAATTTTTTTCTACGTTTTAACCAAAACTTTTTATTTTTACAGTTTTACTTGTTCTATCCCACATTTTTAACAATTAGTTATTCCAGTAGTTACCATTAGTTATATTTTTAGTTTTACCATTATACATAATAAGGACTGAAGAGGGGCATAAGGCCTGAAATGCATATCTTTTGTAAAAAATAGAAAATAAAAATCCATTTTTTCCTTCAAGAAGAGTGTTCCTGTGTGATAAGTTCTCAATAGCAATTTTATGCTAGGTTCCAAGGAACATACAATCAATTGGCTCAATTTATAATATTTTGCTGGCTGTGCCTATACTTTGAACTTGCCACTGTGCAAACAAAACTAAACTCTTGGGTGTCTTTCTAAGAAAAAAAGCAGAACAAAAGAGATAGTAAAAGGTGTTCAAGTAATTAAATATAGGACACTTCCATGTTGTGGCTTATTGACAGCAATTTGTTAAATTTCAGATATACTCGCTAGTACAGTCAACAGTTTACAACNATAGTAAAAGGTGTTCAAGTAATTAAATATAGGACACTTCCATGTTGTGGCTTATTGACAGCAATTTGTTAAATTTCAGATATACTCGCTAGTACTTTCAACAGTTTACAACCGTCATCTTCAGGAGAAATCAAATACCTTTGCTTTCAAATTGACAGTTTTTAATGGACTTTTCAAATTACGTAATGCACGTGGTTGGAATATAGAACAAAACAATAAAAATTGAATAAATAAATATTTTTAAAGAAACGTGCTGTAATAATTTGAACTCCCCAAAACATATAAATAATAAGTAATGGTACCATGCATGGTCATAGAATAAAATCAGATCACAAAATTATTACTTGGATTGTTTAAATAAAGTTATCCATAGCTGTGGAATTTCCAATGTCAGCGCATTACATGGCAAAGCAGCAGATATGTAAAGGTTCTCCCATATGAATATTTGCCTACGATCTTTGCAATGCTTAAGAAATAACAGATCAGCTACAGAATTAGCAAAAAAGCTTCTAGACCAAGATTATCTTCCACTTTGGAACCATGTTAAATTACATTAAATATTCAAATTATTACAGCATGTTTCTTTAAAAATATTTATTTATTCAATTTTTATTGTTTTGTTCTATATTCCAACCACATGCATTACGTAATTTGAAAAGTCCGTTAAAAGCTGTCAATTCGAAAGCAAAGGTATTCGATTTCGCCTGAAGACAATGGTTGTAAACTGTTGAAAGTACTAGCGAGTATATCTGAAATTTAACAAATTGCTGTCAATAACACAACAACACGGAAGTGTCCTATATTTAATTTCTAAATGCTGGCGTGAAGTGAACTATATTTTCATTCAGTGGTTCAAGTAGGGTGAATAGTAAATGGTAAACAGTGGTTGCAAACTGACAAGGTTTATTTAAGTAGCTGGCAGTGAGAGTTCCTCCTTACAATGTGGCCTCATATGCAATACAATGCAGTTGAAATTTTTTGAATCACAAAGAATATTGTTATATTAAGTTGTTAGCAAATTTACAGATTTATCAATGATAGGTTCTATGTAAAACACAGTATTGAACTTTTCTTCATAAAAAAATGTATTTTATTGTTTTACTTCTAAAATTAGAATAGAGAATACATGAAAATAACCTTTGAAAGAACACTATTTCAAATTCTTCACATGCAAAATGTCTCAAAATAAATAAAACACTTTAAATTAATTAAAAGTATTATTTATCAATACAAACATTTTCAAAGCCTTTGAATTTCATCCTCAAATGTCATATTCTGAAACTAAAACATTTGAGACATTTCAGGATGAAACTCAAAGGCTTTGAAAATGTTTGTATTGATAAATAATACCTTTAATTAATTTAAAATGTTTTATTTATTTGAGACAAATATATTCAACTAATAAAAGTAACAATTGAAAAGTACTTTAAAAAATTTAAGAAATGTTAATGAAGAGTATAATAACTTATAAAATGTTTCTAGTCATTGAGAATTTGTCAACAGTAGTATAAATTTTTAAAAATCAGAAAGTTATTCTTTGTAAATTTATATAAATATTTTTAAGCTCTTCACTTTCTCTCTTCTATTTTAATTAATATAACATTACTAACTGATTATAAACTATAAACTTTGTAAAACACACTCCAATTGTAAAAAATATTAGCAAGAAATTGATAACATTTAAAAATTATGAGTACTTTATTCTCTCTTTTATCAATTTCTTGTTAATGCTTACGGTATATATGACCATAATATACAAAGTTTATTGCTACTGTATTTGCTTGTACAGTACTTTATTACTAGCTACTATCTATACTTACCATATGCTGAATTCTTCCTCTAATTATGTTAATTCTATTTTTGAAATGTTCAATTCCTTTCTTATGTTGATTCCAACTAACAGGCTGAGCACTGTAAGCACTAATTATTAAAAACAAAATTAAATATATATTAGTAATAGAGATTTTAATACATTGATTTTTGAAGTTTTAATTTTTCAATAATTTAAATTTAAAAACTCTACCATAAATTTGTAAAATATTATGGTTTTAATATATAAGGTACATAAGAACAAAAATATCTTTTGTACACTGTAAAATAAGATCAACTGTATAAGTACTCTAATGTGCAATTATGGAGGAAATTAAAATCTTTGAGCATGAATTTTACATAAATAATATTGCAAAACAGTAATTTTTTGTACAGAAGAAAAACCAAAAGTCCTTATTCTTTTATGCCTGTTTTAACAAAAAAATTTGAGCATTTCTAAGTTATAGTTCTTCTAACTTTAGTTTCGATAATACAAAACATAAAAGAAGTATTATATTAGTTTTGTGAAAGATTCACTAATCATTATAAACTAGTTAATAATTTCAATCATATGGCAGGATGCTGAGGAGATAAAATCAGTCTGTTGCTCTAGGAAGCTCAGGTTTGAGTTGGATTAGCTTAGGAAATTTCATGGGTGTGTTGACTCAAACATGCTTGAACCTGTCCTTTACCATTCAATTCACCCCATTGTGAACCTGGCCAAACATATAATGAATATAACTAAAAAAGGCTTCGCAGGTACTAAAAATGCTAAATACTCACAGAAGTACCTGACCAGTCAAATTATTCATAAAAATTTCTAAAGATTCCACATGGACCAAGATATAGGATCCAACTCAGATCTCCAGAAATTATATATGTACTATTATGATGGAAGCATAGCTACAAAACATATAAAGCAGTAGACTATATGAAAAGATCTCCACTGTCTATTGGCATTAAACAATTTTATTACTTATAATATCACCATATACACTTTCAACATTTTATAAATATCATCTTCAGGTGAAGAAGAGACCATAATTTAAGAACAGTAAAATAAATTTTAAATTCAAATGTTAAAACCACTTTGAAGTGATTGATGAATATACCTGTCAAGGGCGATCACATGGCACTGGAGAATGATGTCGATATCCGCAAAAAAATTTTAGCCAAAAATTACCGCAAAAAAAAATTCACATAAAAAGGAATTATGTGACAATAAAGAAAGATTTTTTCTTTATGATATAACTGTTTAAAAATTTTTTTCCCGAAACGGAAATGAGAAAAATGTTTGAGAAAATTCCTAAAAAATTTCCCATATTTATTCTCCACTACATTGTGATAGTGTCATATCTGATTAACCCTCTATACAAAGGTTAACTATTCAAATATAAATTCAAATTTTAAAAACTTTGAATTTATATTTTTAAGTTATATCTATACTAATACGAGGCGTGTTTTTAAAGTAAGTACCGTTTTAATATAACGCCGCTGGAGCGCTGCAGTCGGCACTTAGCGCATGCGCACTGTGTACCTACATCTGTTGGGAAGCCACAAACGCCATTACGGAGCCAGTCGACTGTGTTTACTGTTGTTTGTGTGTTATTGAAATGCCGCCGCTCATTGAGAATCCCGCCGACAGCGAAGTGCGTGCCGTTATTCGTTTTCTCAGTGCTAAAGGCTCGAAAGCGGCTGAAATTCATTGCCAAATCAGTGAAGTTTATGGTGAAAGCGTTATGAGTGAAGGAATGATACGAAAATGGGTTAGGGCCTTTAGTAATGGCCGCACAAACATTCACGATGAGGAACGAAGTGGGCGACCTTCAGTCATTATCGACGATTTGATTGAAAAAGTGGACTGTAGAGTGAAAGAGAACAGACGATTCACGATTTCATCTTTATCTAAAGAGTTTCCTGCAGTTTCAAGAAGTGTTCTCTATGAAATTGTGACCGGACGATTAAATTATCGGAAGTTGTGTTCCCGTTGGGTGCCGAAAATGTTGACGGAGGAGCACAAAACCAAACGTTTGGCCAGTGCATTGACTTTTCTTGAGCGCTACAGTGACGAAGGAGATGATTTTTTAAGTCGTATTGTTACAGGCGATGAAACGTGGGTAGCCTACGTTACACCGGAATCAAAGCAACAATCCATGGAATGGCGACATTCATCATCTCCAAGGAAAGTCAAGTTCAAGCAAACAATTTC